TGATGATTCTTTAATTTGCATTTTTTTCCTCTACCTATCTGTCTGGCCAACAGCTTGCAAATATTTACTGAAGGCTTTTAGTGTGCTGCTAGTTTTGAAGTCTGTGGGAAATGTAAATGAACAAAAGACCTTGGCCTCTTGGAGTTTATATTCTAGTGAAGTTCAGATTTTTTTTTTTTTTTTGAGATGGAGTCTTGCTGTCTTGCTAAGGCTGGAGTGCAGAGGCGTGATCTCGGCTCACTGCGACCTCCGCACCCCAGGTCAAGCGATTCTCCTGCCTCGGCCTTTCAAGTAGCTGGGACAACAGGTCCCCACCACCATGCCCATTGTATTTTTAATAAAGGCGGGGTTTCAGCATGTTGCCTGGCTAGTCTTGAATTCCTGACCTCCAGTGATCTGCCTGCCTTGGCCTCCCAAAGTGCTGGGATTACAGATGCAAGCCACCACACCTGAGAATTCTATAATGTTATCTGTAAAACAGTTCCCTCATCAGTTTTTATCTCTGTGACATTGACTTTTTGGAGTCTAGGCCAGTTGTTTTTTAAGATTGTCCTGTGTTCTGTATTTGTCTCATTTCTTTGTGATGTTATTTATTTCTCTAGCTCTTTTATTTTCTGTAAATTTACTAACCTATATATTCACTTCCTTTTAGTCAGCTCATCTACATATTTAAGTTTTCTCAGTTGTCCTAAGAATATTTTTTATAGCTTTTAAAATTCAAACCAGAATATACTTATTCTCTCTTGGATAGTTGGTAATTTACTGTTTATTTCTCAGATGATTTTGTCTTTAAACAAAATTTTTGGCCAGGCATAGTGGCTCACGCCTGTAATCCCAACACTTTGGGAGGCCGAAGTGGGTGGATCACTTGAGGTCAGTAGTTCAATACCAGCCTGGCCAATATGGTGAAACCTTGTCTCCACTAAAAATACAAAAATTAGCCGGGTGTGGTGGCATGTGCCTATAGTAGTTCCAGCTACTCTGGAGGTTGAGGCAAAAGAATCGCTTGAACCCAGGAGGCGGAGGTTGTAGTGAGCTGAGATCACGCTACTACACTCCAGCCTGGACAGCAGAGCCAAACTCCGTCTCAATAAATAAAACAAATAAACAAACAAAAATTTTTTCCTGACTTTAGCCAGCTGTCTTTTCATATCTTTTATATATATTCAGAATTTTTTATATTCTCATTCATCTTTCTTTTATACCTATAATTGCTGTTTAGTTATATTGAATTTATGTTGGAGAGTTATGTTATAATTTTTTCCTTCTTGGTAGGTGTTTTTTTAATTTTAGGGAGTTACTTTTATCAGCAGAAAATATTTCTGTTCTTTTGTTTTCTTATTGAAGAACAGTATAGATGTCAGATTATTTATTTTGTTTATGATGATATATTGGATTTTCATAGACCTCAAGAAACAAGTGGATTCCTTGAGGCCAGGAAAAAAAGGTTTGCTTAGTTTTTAAGTTTAAGAGTGCCCTCTTCTGTTGGTATAGTGAAATGCACCTTCTTTACTACATGATTTGTTGGGGGCTTTCTACTTCTGATTCTGTGATTACCGTCTTATTTGACTAGAGCCCTTATCTTTTGTTTCTTCCTTTTCTTTATACACCAAGATTCAAAAGGATACCTCCCGCTTCTAATTGCTATTTACCTCTTGTCCTAGAGAGAACCTTAGTTGGTATCTACGTTATACAACTACCAAGATTCTTTTCTACACAGTTTCCTCTGATTTTTTTCAATAAGGGCTCTGTAACATTGCTTGTCCTGGATGTTTATATTTTCCTCATTTACTTGAAATGAAATTTGAAGTGTTATTTGTCTCTTATTTGTATTAAAAACAAGGGATATGGGTAATTTTATTTGCTCTCTGTGGGTTTTGGAATATTTGTTTGTATATTTGATTTGAGTTTGGATGCCTACCATTTTCCTAAGGGAAGTAGAATGTCTACTGTAAGTTTTAATACTGGACAAGGAAAAACTTAAAAAAAAAAACCAATAATCCGTTGTCTCTGCATTTTGTTGAATTTTGGGACATTATTATTGAATAGTTTCTACCTTCCCCTTTGATCTGAGTCACTTCTTTTTCATATATCAAAATTTCTTACATTTGTAGGTCTGTTTTAGAACTTTCCATTTTATTTATTTGGTTCGTTCATCTATCCCTGCACTAAAACTTTGTAAGTCTTGATGTCTGGCAGCGCAAGTAGCCCCTCTTTTCTTCCGCGGGAGTGTTTGGCCCATTGCTATTCCAAACAGATTTTAGAATCAGCTTGACAAGTTCCACAAGAAACCTTTTTGGAAGCTTGATTATTATTGCAATACCTAGGGAAGACTGGACACTTCATGATACCATTCCTTCTTGTTCATGAGCTTGGAATATCTCTCCATTTATTTCATTTGTAATTTTTTTTTCTTTTTTGAGACAGAGTCTCGCTCTGTCACCCAGGCTGGAGTGCAGTGGCGCGATCTCAGCTCACATTCACTGCAACCTCTGCCTCCCAGGTTCAAGCGATTCTCGTGCCTGAGATTACAGGCACACACCACCACTCCTGGCTGTTTTTATCTTTATTTTTTATTTTTTATTTTTAGTAGAGACATGGTTTCTTCATATTGCCAAGGCTGGTCCCAAACTCCTGAACTCAGGCAATCCGCCTGGCTCAGCCTCCCAAAGTCCTGGGATTACAGGTGTGAGCCACGGCACCCGGCTCTCCATTTATTTCGGTACTTTAATATTACATTAAAAATTATTATTTTCCCAAATTTTTTCACTCTTTAAAATTTCTAACTTCGTTGCTAGTACTTAGCAATGAAATTGATTTTTGTATATTGATTTTATTTCCAGCTACCTTAGAAAGTTGAATTTTGAATGATTTTACTATATATATGTGTGTATATGTATAGACAACTAAAATTATGTGTATTTATTGTGTACCACATGTTTTGAAATACATATCCATTGTAGAATGGCTAAATTGAACAGTTAATTTATACATTATCTCACTTCAGTTTTTGAAGCCTAAAATATTACTATGTGGCCCTTTATAGATAAAGTTTGCCACTCCCTGATACCATCATACCATTTTAAATAGTAATGACGGTTTTGTTATATTCATTTTCAGCGCATCTAATTTTTTCCACTTGTAGTCCAAAAAATTACTTTTGCTAAGTACACAATTTAGATAATATTTTGCCAATATTTTCTTCTTTCAAAACTTGCAAGATATTATTAGTATATTCTCCCTGGCTTCCACTATTGCACTTGAGAAATCTGTTGTTCAAATTGTTGTTCCTTTCTAGGTGATCTCTTCTTTCTCTGATTACTGTCTCTGTCTTTGGAGTTGTGCAGTTACACCGCCAAATTCTAGGTTTGGATTTCTTTTTATTTATCCTGCTTGGGTTATGTTGCACATCCTGAATTTATAAAGATTCTTGTTTCATTAATCTGGAAATTTCACAGCTGTTATCTTGTTAAATATCTTTCAGACGCCCCAATAGACGTATGTTAATTAGATATTCTCATGCTGTCCTTTGTATCTCTTTATGTCTTTCCATTTCCTTTTTCTCTTTGCCACATTTTGGGTAATGTATTCAGGTGTATCTTCCAGCTCTCTAATTTGTTCTTAAATATGTTTAATTTTTTAAAAAATTTCAACTGTTGTATTACTCAGTTCAAGTTGTTTCATCCTCCTACCCCCAAGTTCATCTGTTTATTCCTAATGGCCTCTTGTTGATTGTCATCTTTGAGTCCATCCTTGATTTCTTTAAACATATACACATCTGTTCTGTAATCTGTACTGGACAATTCTAATATCGACAGTTCTCAAATCTATTATCTGTTGCCTCTGACTCTTGCCTTCTTGTGTATTTGATCTTTGATTGTGAACTCATTGCTTGAACTTAGTTGGTGGGAGTCCTTTGGACCTACCAGAAACAACTTTCTTCCAGAGAAGATTTATTCCTGCTTGACACTGGGGAATCATCAGTCAGAACTGCCTTAGCCTCTCTTGTCTCAACTCAAGAATTGTAGGGTACTCTGCCCCACTTATTGGTTGGGGACTTTGTTTTTGCATAGGATGAGCTGCAAAGTCACATTGTAAAAGGAGCCTGCATTCAGGAATGAGAACTCAGGGACTCCACAGATCTGGGACTCAGACCTCTAAGGAGAGGGTGGAAGCTAGTTGGTGCTATGTGATGGCACAGTAAGCTGATTCAGTGAGTGTTAGAAAAACTGCAAACTGGAGTCGGGTGCTGCTCCTGGAATGAGTGGTCTACCAGAGTTGTTAGGATTCTACTGCAAAGAATGGAAAGCAGTCAGGAAGAAACAGGTCCCTTCCTTTAACTTCCAGTCTCTCTCCAACACCCCCGTTGCCAGAGTTTAAGAGGAGAGGTAACCATTAAAAGCAACAGAAAAATTGGTTTAATGAATACTAGGTTCAGCATCTCAAAGCAGAGTATATAAAGGAGAGTAGGTTTAGAGCTGAAAGAATAGCTTAATTATTGGCTCTTCAATAACTACTGCCTACTAAGTTTACTTTTTTATTGTCAATGTGCAATAACGGAAGATTTGTTTGTGTAATTAAGTTTAATTTCAACTCTCATTTCTTTCATGAATGCTTTCCTGACCATGGTAGCATACACAGATTTTCTGCACCACTCTATCAATTACTGATTTTAAGTTGCTGTTCAACTTCTAAAACGTTTATCCTTATGTTTATGTGTGTTTGCGAGTGCATTGAATAGGGTGGTGGGTTTCAGGGCTGTGTTCTTACAGTTCGAATATTACAACCAGCCTAGGCTAGCACCTTATACTTAATCGGCATTACAAAGTACCTTGACCTTTCTGAAAGTTGGAGATTTTTTAAATGCTTTCTTATAAAATGGAATATCCCTCAAAATTATACTTTTGTTGATATCAAAAGAGTTTTATTTTTCATGTTGTCATTAATGTTAAGATGCTTAAAAATGAATCTTAGGAAATTAATTTCCTTTTAATTAGCAGGTGCTTCTAAGGAAGGAGGTGCTGGAGCAGTTGATGAAGATGATTTTATAAAAGCTTTTACAGATGTCCCTTCTGTTCAGGTAAGGCTACCAGTGGCACTCCCCATGAATATTACCTATGTGCCTGTTCGTATAATTATTTGTCTCTGTCCCTTTTTAAGAATTTTTTTTTTGTTAAATAGCTATATAAATAAAATATTTGGCTTATTACCACCAAGCCATTATTTGTTGGTACAATTAGATTTTCAAGTGATTTTTCAGTGAGGCTGAAATAGAATTGAATCATATTGTTGAATCACATTATACTGCAGTGTTCAGATTCTTAAATTAATGAGTTTTGAGCTCACAGAGTATTAGATTAGTTGATAATAGAAATTTGGAAGTCATTCATACAGATGTTATTGAAGTAAAGTGGACACATGCATAAATAAGAGTATTATTTCCATGACTTACAACTACACATAAATGTTATATTGTATGTAACATTCTGCAACCTGACTTTTTACAGTGGTGTTATTTATATTTTTTCCCAATGTAAAATTTGTGATTCTAGTTCATTCATTTGGATTGATAGGTGGTATTCTATTGTATGAACAGACCACAGTGCGTTTATAGGTTGTTTCTGGTTTTTGGCTATTCCATATCATGCTGCAATGAATTTTTTTTTTTTTTTTGAGATGAAGTCTTGCTCTGTTGCCCAGACTGGAATGCAGTGGCACAATCTTGGCTCACTGCAACCTCCCACCTCCTGGGTTAAAGCGATTCTCCTGCCTCAGCCTCCTGAGTAGCTGAAATTACAGGCGCCCCGCCACCACGTCCAGCTATTATTTTGTATTTTTAGTAGAGACAGGGTTTCACTATGTTGGTCAGGCTGGTCTCCAACTCCTCACCTTGGCCTCCCAAAGTGCTGGGCTTACAGGCGTGAGCCACCACACCAGCTTGCAATGAATATTTTTGTACATATGTCCTTGATTATTTGTAGGTAGGAGTTTCTTTAGGGTATAAACACAGGAGTAGAATTGCATGGTTATAATCTTTAAGTTTACTTAGATGTTACCCTGTAGGGTTGTTGTACCAGTTCAGACTCCTGTGAGAAAGGTATGATAGTTCTAATTTCATCACATCCTTGCCAATACTTGTTGTTGTAACTCAGAATATTTTTACCAGTATGATGGGTGTGAATACTCTTTAGCATGTCTATTTGAAAATATTCTCACATCGCTTTACTTGCGAACTACCTTCTGTTGCCTGTATTACCTTTTTAGCTCTCTGAAAGGAAAATTGTCCTTAAGGTATTTAAGATCTTAAAAAGTTAGAAGAAAGCTTTAAAAAGTTTTCTGGTTTGACTGTATTTTATCCCTTTATTGAGACATATGTTTTTTCTTATTTTAAGATATTTTTTAAATAATAGGGAAAACATACCACTTCCTCCTTTTGTGTTTTACAGCCTTTCATATAAGGGGAAGGTTAGTGTTGTAGGAACAATCAGTAAAACTTAGTTGAACTTGAATATTTTTATCGTTCAGTATGTTCTTGTCAGACTGGTAACATCATGGTATGGGCAGCCAAGGGCTACTCAACTATATGGAGGGGAAAAGGCTATTTTACAATTACTCACTGCTTTCTTCCAGCTGGGCCTCTCTGCCACCCTCACCACCCTGTAAATGTTCCACACCTTCCATTGTTCCCTTGGAAACATCTTTTTCATAAGCAGCAACTCCCCTAAGCTTTAACCCCATTTTTAAAGGGTCCATTCAATGTTCTTTCCTTGATTAGAATCTGATTTTTTTTTTACCCTCTTTAAAGATAAAGCTGTTTATTATTCTTGGCTCTCATACTCTTAGTAATTGATAATAAGTTTATTGTGCTTTCACTCCTCATTATTACTCTGTGACCATTATTCCTATACCCATTTATATGAGGTTCATACTCCCTGGCCAGCCTTCTTCTTATTGGCATGTACTGATCTTGACAACATTCCAGTGCTGCCTACGTTTGAATCCCAGCTCTACCACACTAGCTGTGTAACCTTAGGTACATTACTTAACCCTCTGTACTTCAGTTTCCTCATCTTAAAATGGGAATTATTAGTACTTATGCCAAGGGTTATTGTGAGGCTAGCTATGACAGTACAGATGAAGTGTAAGAAGTGTATGTTAGCTATTATTATTTTCCTAAATTTTCACACATTCTTGATGAATTCAATTTCTAGACCTCCTCCTCACTTTCACCATAGCTACCCAGTTCATAGTCACACGTTGGATTTTGATATCATCTGTGTGTTACTGTTATGTTTCCGAAGTTGTTAATTGAAGTATCTCATTACTGACCAGGATTCCCTTGCTTTTTGAAGTTCTAACAACTACTTCTGCATGATTTCAAGGATCTTCAGTCCATTGTCTTTTCTACTCACTCTCAATTAATCATCCATCACTTTATACTTTCCTTCTCATCTATGCTTTGATTTCCTTCTTATCTAAGCTTTGATACCATGGTTTCTTGTGGTAGGACTGTACATAATATACTAAAATCCCTTGCTTTTCTGTTTTTTTTTTTTTCATAACAAAGTATTAAACAGTGATTTTTTAAAAATACGGATTTTACAAACCTACAACTGTGGATATTCCCAACTTTTTATTTTCTCTATGTCCTGAAACCGTGCTGTTAGAGAAAGTCACATGTTAGGGCTCATGATTTTTAGTGGAATTCACATAAAATGAGCCCTCAGTAATCTGATATCCTTACTATGTTTCTGTGATCAGTTATTTCTCTGCTTAATATAGCTATCAGACGTGTTTCTTTCCTTTCTATCCATCAGCCTGTCTCTGTCCTCCTCTCTTCTCTCAGCCCCTTACTTTAGTAAATAAGCAGTCACCATCAAATGGGAGCATGATCTTTCTGTTAACATTCTTCTGTACTGTACGTTCCTTCTGTCCTGTTGCTCCAGGAACATGGTCCTTCTTCAAAGGCCAGCACCTCCACCAGTGTTCCAAAGCCTAGTATTTTCTGCTTCCTTAATACATTCACACAATCAGTAATCTCATGTGGGTTCAAGCTCTTTCTGTTTATCTCTTAACGTGGCTGGGTTCTTCAATTAAAAAAACAAAAGTCTCACTGGACTCTGTATCTTCCAGACACTATTTTTTATTTTGACCCTCACAGTCAGCTTTTCCAAAAGAGTTGTCTGTACTTGGTATTTCTATAACTTGTTACTCACTTCATCCCACTTCTTTCTAGCTTATTCTTACGTTGAAACAGGTCTTGAGTAAATCACTGATCATCGTTGAGGCACCAGAATCAACCCGTTTGGAATTTTTTTTTCCTTGTTCTTTTATCAGTATTTAGCACTGTTGACTATAGCCACTGTTTTGGCGTTTAATTTTAGGTGCTTGTGATGTAATGTTCTTCCATTTTATTTCCTCTACATCTTTGTCCACTTCATCTCTGTCTCTTTTATAAGCACATCCTTCTCTACTTGGCTGTTGAATATTGGAATTTCTTAAGGGTTAGTTCTGGGCCCTGTCTTCTCATTCTCTGTTTTCTTACTGAGTCACCTCCTTCAAACTGCTGGCTTCAGTTCCTACGTTTTATCTAGGTAATGCCCAGATTTTAACCTCCAAGCCACATCTCTCCTGAGTTCCAAAATGATTTTCTCCACTGTGATTGTTTACCTGACGCCCTCTTTCAGATGTCTCAGACACCTCAAACTTATCCTGTTTGAAACTGAAATAATGGTCTTCCAGTATTCTTTGTGTGTAAACCATTACTTAATCAGTTACAAAAGTTAGAAACCTAGGAATCATTCTACTGCAACAGATACCTAACTTAGTGGGTTTTCAAGCTTCTTTTGCTTGTATACCTGCTAAAAGAATGTTTAAAGAAGTACATTTTTGAGTTGACTCTCTTCTTCCTTACTGGAGGAAGGGGAACCTTGCATTGTGTTCCAGGGGAATGCATCATAAGATTAGGGGTGGTAGAACATTCTGGAAAATGGCAGAGGGGTATTGTGAAGAGAAGGTGAGAGGCAGGAAAGAGCTAGCTCAGAAGTTTCTTTAACCACATAACAGAATGTTACTTGGTCACCATCTACCTCGTCCCAGCCTTGTCTCATGCCTTGCTCTCCTTTGCGTTTGCAAGCACTCTCTTTCTCTCTCTCTTGCTCTTACTCTCTGTTAAGCAAAAGGTGAATTTAATAGCGTTGAAAATGAAAGATGTAAGGCAATTTGATAAAGAGACTCAGTTGGTATCACCAGGAGTCTATTTCTCATTTCTAATTCCTCTGCATTGTCTCCTCCCATGGTCAACAATGTGGTTATAGCTGTTCCATCTTCACACCTGGGTCATTGGCTCTTCTCCCAGTTCCCTTTATACTTTTTATTCCTTACTCTGGCCTTCTTTCATTTACTGTGTCACAGAGCCTTTGCACATGATATTAACTCTCTAGGGAAAGCAAATCTCTCCACTTTGCCTAATGATATCCTACACATTATTTAGCTCTCAGCTCAATCTTGACTTTCCTCATAGGTCATACCCCTCTTATGTATAAACTTTCGTTTTCTTTTGTGGGACTTCCTATTTGTAGTTTCATATTTGATTGATTTTTAAAATCTCCCTGAGTAGATTGTACTCTCCATAAAGCAAAGACCGTGTCTATTTTGGCTAACCATAGTCCTCCCCATTGCCTGGCATAGTACCTTTGTGTTATGTGAATATTTTTTAAATGAATGAAAGAATAATGGTGAATAGCAGTTTGACAAAGGATTGGCTCCAGAGGGAACAAAACATGTAGCTATCCTGACTATAGTTTATCATGACAGAAGAGAGAAAATCAAAACTAACTTAAAACATGTCCTTTTGGTAATATTGTGTAATATGTATATGAATGCAATAAGATAGGTTATACACTTGAAGTCATTTTGAGAAATTAGACTTTTATTTATTCTTAGATATTTGACATCTTGTTTTTAAAATTACAAAGCATTTTAAGAGCATATTTGAAGTTATTTATGAGGGAAGAAATAGCAAAAATGGTAACAAGGAAGAAAAAGCGTTTTGTGTTATTGTTGTCTATAATGTATTTCTATTCTCCATTAGAAATGGTGCTAGAATGAGAAATAAACTTAGTGGGTGAAAGATTATTTTAAACATCAGGGCATAATTTTGATATTGTTCATGGCAAGAAACACTGTTATAATTCTGAATCTTTTTTTTTTAAGATTTATTCTAGTCGAGAACTTGAAGAAACATTAAATAAAATCAGGGAAATTTTGTCAGATGACAAACATGACTGGGATCAGCGTGCCAATGCAGTAAGTTTTTGTCTTTAATTTTATCTTCTTTATTGATGTTCCTTTTAAAAAACATGGAAATTCAGTAGTAGTACTATATGGTATTCACTTATAAAATAGAGTCTGGTAGGTAACATTCCTTTCTGGAGAATATATTGATAAAATACTCATTTTCTGGTTTAGGATCGATTTTTATTTTGGTTTGGCTTATCAGATGGTGCCTACACATTTGGTAGCCTCACCACATGTGCTGTTTTTGACTGACCAGCGCAATGTGAGATTCACAGGGCTTTGGCCTTTCTGTGGATTTACACAGTTGCTTATTAGCACTATCCTCAAGTCATGTAAGGTTTACCAGTAAAGCAGTTCACTTTACCTGCATGCTCAGTGTTTTCATAGCACTTTACCTGCATACTCAGTGTTTTTATAGCATCAATATAAATTCACAACAGGATGTGCATTTATCTGGCTTTTTTTCTTCCCATGTGAATGTAATGCATATTTCTCCTGTGATTTCATTTATAAAGGTCAGATACCCTTGAGTTAAGAATATTTTATTTAGCCTAAATTCCTTAAGGAAAATATTTGATAAAATTTAAAATAATATTTGTGTTGACAATAAGCAATATGTTGTTTAAATTTGTAAACTTATTGTTTACATAACCAGATTACATGTACCAAATGAGTACCTCAGAGTTTTCAAGAAGCCAGAGAAAAGGGCTGCATTTGAAGACTGTTCTGCTCTGAGAGGCCCCAACCTGGCTGATCATGAAAATCCCCATTTTGATTAATTAAATCAAATGCAGGGTCTTTGGACAAATGTGACTTTTATGACACCATGAGCAAAGGACCATTTTTGTCTTTGTTGGGAAGTCTACATATCTTAAAACATTGAAATACTGTTTTTAACAGAGTGTTCCTCCAAATTTGTTAAATATGGCTCCTATTCTTGTTTGTCACAGGTGATCTGTAGAGAATCTGTAGAGATTAAGTATTGTTAGTATAAAACGTCATCTTTTTACTTAAGGGTTTTTTTTTGGGTTTTGCTTAAAAACTACCCATTTGGAAACAACAGATGGTCTTTTGATTTTTTTTTTTTCATTAGAAAAATGACACAGGCTTATTGTAATGAGTGAAACAATGCAGAAAACTACAGAGAAAAAGTTAATAGTTTCCTACCTGTTAAAGAAATAAACTTTTGTGGAGGCTAAGATGGGAGGATTGCTTGAGCCCAGGAGTCTGAGGTTACAGTGAGCTATGATTGTACCACTGTGCTCCAGCCTGGGCAACAGAGTGAAACCCTGTCTCTTAAAAAAAAAAAACAACAACACACTTTTCATTTTAGAGTATATCCTTTTCTGTGTTATATGTATTTAAACATATATGACAAGGTACACACAATTTTCCCCTACTCTCTTTGTAAAAAAAAAAAAAAAAAGAGAGAGATCATACTCGATACATTACTTAGTAACTTGCTTCTTTTTTTTTTTTTCTTAACAAATCGTGCTCATTCAGTACACCTGGTATAGATGTCAGGCACATAATAGTTGCTCAGATATTTATTGAGTGCAGATCAGTATGTACATATATTCCTTAGTTTAATATGTATACATGTAATTTGTGTATGTGTGTTATATCATAGGAATCTGATCTTTTGTTTCTTTTATACTTTAAGTTCTAGGGTACATGTGCACAACATGCAGGTTTGTTATATATGTATACATGTGCCATGTTGGTGTGCTGCACTCATTAACTCATCATTTACATTAGGTATATCTCCTAATGCTATCCCTCCCCCATCTCCCCACCCCACAACATGTAATTTTTAAAATCATTTGCCATTTGATGGATTTTCAGTTTTTTTTATTGTTTTGCTATTTTAACAGTGTTATAGTAAACATCCTTACACACATTTGTAACAGTGGTGCTTTTATTTTTGTAGGTTAGATTTTAAAATGTGGATTGTTGGGTAAAGAGTTGCTGCAATTTTATTTTAGTAGATGCTGCCAAAATATTTTGAACAAAGGTGTTAGTCACATATAATCTTACAGTGTTTGAGAGCATCTGTTTTCTTTTCAGATTTAAAAAATTTTTGCCATTGTATTGGGGAGAAATGTGACTTTGTGAATTTATCACTAGTAACTTTTAACATATTTAAATATATTTATTTTACCCAATTTAATCACAGGTTACAATAGTCCCCCCTCACCTATGGTTTCAGTTTCCATGGCTTTAGTTACTCATGGTCGACCATGGCCAGGAAATAAGAAGATGCTTTGATAGACCTACATTCACATAATGTTTATTACAATATATTATTATAGTTTTCCCATATTATTGTCATTAATCTCTTACTGTGTCTAATTTATAAATTAAACTTTATCATAGGTAAATATTTATGGGGAAAAAAAGGTATATAGGGTTCAGTACTATCTGAGGTTTTAGGCATCCACTGGGGGTCTTGGTACATATCCCTTGCAGGTAAGGGGAAACTACTGTATTTGTCTTTTTCTTATTTTATTGTCATTCTTTGTGTGTCGTCTTATATACATTGCAGGTAATTTTATCCTGCTGTATTGTGATGTTTATTTTGTTTTTAGTTATAATTTAGACACTTGAAAATTCTCCTCATATGCCCAGGATTGTATAACATTCTTTTGATTTTTTTTCTAATGTCCATAGCAGGGTTTTTTTACATTTACATCTTTATGCATCTGATTTAACTTTAAAGACTTTAAAGACTTATTTTATTTTATTTTATTTTATTTTATTTTATTTGAGACAGAGTCTCACTCTGTCACCCAGGCTGGAGTGCAATGGCCGGATCTCAGCTCACTGCAAGCTCCGCCTCCTGGGTTTACGCCATTCTCCTGCCTCAGCCTCCCGAGTAGCTGGGTCTACAGGCGCCTGCCACCACGCCCGGCTAGTTTTTTGTATTTTCTTAGTAGAGACGGGGTTTCACCGTGTTAGCCAGGATGATCTCGATCTCCTGACGTCATGATCCGCCCGTCTCGGCCTCCCAAAGTGCTGGGATTACAGGCTTGAGCCACCGCGCCCAGCCTAAAGACATTTTAAAATTTAGAAAACCTCTGAGTTAAATGTGAAATTATATACAATATTGGTGTGATAAGTAGACTTTTAGCTTCTGAGTTTGTGTGAGCACAGATGTGCACGTGTGTTGTATCTCTTTTGATCAATGTAATTTTATTATGTATGTATGGTTTTCATGTGGATGACATTTGTCAATCAAATACTGTAAAAGTAATGCCTTTTCTTGTCTAGTTGCTCTGGCTAGGCCTTCTAGTACTCTTGAATAAAAGTGCTGAAAGTGGGCATCCTTGTCTTATTCCAGACCTTAGAGGAAAGGCTTTCTGTTTTTCGCTATTCAGTATGATACTGGCTGTGGGTTTGTTTTACATACCATGCTGAGGTATATTCAGCATGCTGAGGTATATTCCTTCTATACTCAGTTTTTTGAGAGTTTTTATTATGATGCAATGTTGAATTTTATTGAATACTTTTTCAGCATCTGTAAAAAGGGTCATGTGGTTTTTGTCCTTCATTCTGTTGATCTGATGTGTCACATTTATTAATTCATGTAAATTAAACCATCCTTGCATCCTGGGATTTATCCCACTTGATCATGATGAATGATCTTTTAAATGTGTTGTTGAATTTGGTTTAATAGTATTTTGTTGAGGATTTTTGCATCTATGTTCATCAGAAATACTGGCCTGTAGTTTTCTTTGTTTTGTCTTTGGTTTTGGTATCAGGATGATACTGGCCTCGTAGAATGAGTTTGGAAGTATTTCCTCCTCCTTGATTTTTTTTTTTTTTTAAATAGTTTGAGTACAATTGGCATTAGTTCGACTTTAAATGTTTGATAGAATTCAACAGTGAAATAGTCAAGTCTTGGGCTTTTCTTTATTGAGAGACTTTTAATTACTACTTCTATCTGGTTACTTGTTATTGGACTTTTCAGGTTTTGGATTTCTTCATGGTTCAATCTTGGTAGGTTTTTTGTGTCTAGAAAGGTGTCCCATTTCTTCTAAAGAAATAAAGAGCATCCAAATTGGAAAGGAAGAAGTCAGATTATCCTTGTTTGCAGATGATATGATCTTATATTTAGAAAAACCTAAAAACACCACCAAAAAAAATTCAGTAAAGTTGCAGGATACAAAATCAATGTACAAAAATCAGTAGCATTTCTATATGCCAACAATAAACAACTTGAAAAAGAAACTGAGAATGTAACCCCATTTACAATAGCTACAAATGTAACCCCATTTACAGTAGCTACAACTAAAATATCTAGAAATAAACTTTACCAAAGAAGTAAAAGATCTCTCCAATGAAAACTATAAAAACATCGATGAAAGAAATTAAAGAGGACACAAAAAACAAAGATATATTCCATATTCATATTAATTGGAAGAATCAATGTTGTCAGAAAGTCCACAGTCCCCAAAGCGTGTGCAGATACAGTGCAATCTCTATCAAAATACCGATGACATTCTTCATAAAAATAGAGAAAACGGTACTAAAATTCATATGGAACTACAAAAGATCAATAATAGTGAGTGAAGGCAATCCTAAGCAAAAAGAACAAAGCTGGAGGCATCCCTCCTGACTTCAAATAATATTTACAAAGCTGTAGTAACTCAAATAACATGGTACTGGCTCAAGTGACCCACCCACCTTGGCCTCCCAAAGTGCTGAGATTACAGGTGTGAGCTACCACATGCAGGGAGAACAGTATGGAAGTTTCTTAAAAAATAATAAAAGTGAAAAAGAGATAGACCAGTGGAACAGAATAGAGAACCCAGAGATAAATCCTTGCATTTATACTCAACTCATTTTCAGCAGAGGTGCCAAGAACACACAACAGAGAAAGGACAGTTCAATAAATGGTATTGGGAAAACTGGATGTCCACATTGCAGAAGAATGAAACTAGACCCCTATGTCCCACTATACATAAATCACATCAAAATTGATTAAGGACTTAAATCTAAGACCTCAAACTATCAAACTACTACAAGAAAACATTGGAGAAACACTTTCTAGGACGTTGGTCTGGGCAAAGATTTCTTGAGTAAGACCTCAAAAGCATAGGCAGCTAAAGCAAAAATGGACAAATGAGATCACATCAAGCTAAAAAGTTCCTGTACAACAATGGAAATAGTCAACAAAATGAAGAGACAACCCACAGAATAGGAGAAGATATTTGCAAACTACCCATCTGATAAGGGAGTAATAACCAGAATATATAAGTCACTCAAAAAATTCTATAGGAAAAATAAGTAGTCTGATTTAAAAGTGGGCAAAAGATCTAAATAGACATTTCTCAAAAGAGGAGCTACAAATAGACAACACGTATGTGGGAAAATGCTCAACATGACTAGTTATCAGACAGATACAAATTAAAACTTCAGTGAGATATTATCTCACCCCTGTTAAAATGACTTATTTAAAAGACAGGCAGTAACAGGCAAAAAACAGGAATGCTGGCAAGGATGTGGAGAAAGAGGAACAGTTGTACATTGCTGATAGAAATATAAATTTTATTTTAGTTTAGTTTCGTTCTTTATTTTAGCTTAGTTTATTTAGTTTGGGTATTGTATTGTATTGTATTGTAGTTTGGGACTGGGTTTCGCTCTGTTTCCCGAGCTGGAATACAGTGGCGCAATCACGGCTCACTACAGTCTTGACCTCCGGGGCTTAAGCAGTCCTCCCACCTCAGCCATCCAAGTACCTGGGACTATAGGCACATGCCACCATGCCCAGCTAACTTTTATCTCCCTGTGTTGCCCAGGCAGGTCTCAAACTCCTGGGCTCAAGTCACCTACCCTCCTTGGCTTCCCAAAGTGCTGAGATTACAGGTGTGAGCCACCACATGCAGGGAGAACAGTATGGAAGTTTCTTAAAAAATAATAAAAATAAAAATAAAACCACAATATGATCTAGCAATCCCACGGCTGGGTATATATCCAAAAGAAAAGAAATCAATATATTGAAAAGATATCTGCACTTTCATGTTTATTGCAGCACTATTCACAAAAATCTAAGAGGTGGAATATACCTAAATGTCCATCGGTGAATAATGGATAAAGAAAATGTGGTACATACACACATTGGAATATTATTCCACCATAAAAAGGATGAAATCCTGTGGTTTGCAACAACGTGGATGGAACTGGAGGACGTTATGTTTAGTGAAACAAGCCAGTAACAGAAAGAAAAAGATTGCATGTTCTCACTAAGATGTGAGACCTAAAAAAATTGAACTTGAGATAGAGAGTGGAATAATGGTTACCATAGACTGAGAAAGGTAGTTGGGAGTTGAGCAGGGAAATAAAGAGGAAATAGTTGAAGGGTACAAAAATACAGTTAGTGCAAGAATAAGATCCAGTGTTAGGCAGCACAATAGGGTGACTGTAGTTAACAATAATTTATTGTATATTTCAAAATAACTAAAAGAGTAGAATTGGAATGTTTCTAACAGAAAGAACTGATTGACATTTGAGGTGACAGATACCCCAATTACCCTGATTTGATTGTTACACATTGTGTGCTTTTATCAAAATACCACATGTACTTCATAAAAATGTACAACTATTATGTATTCATAATAATTAAACATTTAAGAAATTAAAAATTCAACAGCAGGCCAGATGTAGTGGCTCACTCCTGCTGGGAGGCCACGGCAGGTGGATCTGTTGAGGCCAGGAGTTTGAGACCAGCCTGGCCAACACAGTGAAACCCCATCTCTACCAAAAATACAAAAATTATTCAGGCATGGTGGCATGTATCTGTAATCCCAGCTACTGGGGAGGCTGAGGCACGAAAACCACTTAAACCCTGGAGGTGCAAGTTGCAGTGGGCTGCAGTGGCACCACTGCACTCCAGCCTGGACAACAGAGCAAGACTGTCTCAAAAAAAAAAAAAAAGTTCCGCAGCAAAAAAAAGTAATGCTAAAAGTTTCCAAATTTGGCACTTTTAAAAATAGGCTCCCTTCGTAGATAGTGATGGTAATGGTCACACAACATTGTGAATGCACTTAATGCCACTGAATTGTATACTTTAAAATGGTTAAAATAGTGAATTTTGTTCATGTGTATTTTACCACAAGTAAAAGAAAGACTCCCTATTATCACACTGGGGATTAAGCTAAAAAGACACATGAATAAATAAATTAAATGGATTCCCTTAAAACTTTACAATTTATGTACTTATAGATTACATTTCTCTGTTGTGCTTATAACTAAATCTGTAATACTATTTTTCAGACAGCTTTTTGTTGGCATATTTATTTATAAGATACTTTTTTAATGCTACTAAATATTTAATGCTACTAAAATGTCTGAATATGGTAATATAATGAAACATTACATATGTTTCATTTTTTAGAAAGTTTTTGTTTGAATAATGTAGTTTAGGTAGCTTTTTTTTTTTTTTTTTTTTTGCACTTCCACCTTTTTTGTCAATAATGAAAATTCTTTATTTCAGCTGAAGAAAATCCGATCACTGCTTGTTGCTGGAGCTGCACAGTATGATTGCTTTTTTCAACATTTACGCTTGTTGGATGGAGCACTTAAACTTTCAGCTAAGGATCTTAGATCCCAGGTGGTTAGAGAAGCTTGTATTACTGTAGCGTAAGTATATTCCTTTTATGATAAGTGTTTTTTATGAATGAATTTAGTACTCACTGATTCAGTGCTCATTAAGTCAAGCAGTAACAAGATAGCCAAAAAAGTAGGTGATCCAAAAATCATTTTTGTTATACATAAGGAGTCAATCTGTATGATTAAAAAAAAATTCCTTAACAGCTCTTTATACCAACATTTTAAGGTTGGTATAAAGATATTTAAAATATCTAATGCCTACTGGTGGATTTTTTATCATTAATTCTTCAAGTATAAGATGAAAATGAATGGGTATGGAAACTGGCTGTATTCACTTTTCTCACTACTAATTTGGATATTAAACACTCAATTTCTGATATTTTAGCAGTTATTCTGGCATTGCAACATGCATCATTAACTTAGCAAAATCTAAACTTTAAGTTTGTAGTCTTCCACTATACAAGGATGGTAGAACTTAAATTCTATTTATTACTATTTTTGATCTAAGCAGTGTTGTTGCATATGCATTCCTTTGAAGATAGGGAACACAAAAGTGCCTACTAGCAATATTTCTAATCAGGATTGTTTTATATATTCTAGTCAGAAATGAAGAAAGAAAAGGCAATATAAGGATTGCAAGAAAAGGAACAGAACTGCCATTGTTAACAGATGATATAACTATCCATGCAGAAAACTGCAGGAGAATCTACAGATAAATTATTATAATAAAGGGACTTTGGCAAAGTTGCAAGATACAAGTCCCAGTATACCAAAATGGCCCAATATCTCCAACTAGCAAAGAAAACCGAAATTAATACAAAAATCCATAAAATGTAACCATGAAAAATATACTTAAAACATGACTAGCTCTCTTGCAGAAAACTGGACAATATATGTGAAACATCTGTTTCCAGATAACAGACAGCAGACAGGGTAGGAATGGAATTCTGAAAAGATGCAAGTGATGTTGAACAGTATGAGTTTTGACCTGGAGGCACTCTGGGGAAGGAAGGGGGAACCTAAGCAGAGCAAGGCAGTCTCACTGAGGTGAGGAAACAGAGACTAGAGTTTCAGAGGCTGAAGTGGTCAAAATCGGCAGTGCAGAATACTGGAGAGAAGATGGGGAAATTCTCACACACACACACACACACACACACACACACACACACAGAGCTACAGAGATCATAATATGGGAATCCATGAGTCTAGATGTATACTTCCCTGTCCATGTGAAAGGTACAACTCTGAGGAAGGAAGGGAACTAATGCCTGGGAGCTATAAGGTAAACAATTCCCAGAGCTCACATAGGGATAGGAGAGGTTTAAGATCTGACCAATCAGAATGGAAAAACCTTGGTGAACACCCAAGGCAGTCAGTAGAAACCCCAGAAAGGCCATTGCATAGGAATAGTACTAAACCAGTTCTAAAGTAAGGCATCTCTAGACTCTGCCTCTCCCAACAAGCTTATAAAGATCAAGCTGATTCTCAAGTACATTAGCTGTCTACCAAAGTAAAACTCATGCTCTTTAAAGGAAGACAACATCCAAACATATCCACACCTCCCTGCTTTTCATTTGAGGATCCTTTTTGCCTGTGAGTTCAGACATTAGGAAACTAATACTGCAACAGCATAGGTCTATGTACATAAATGTACATGGGTCTAAATCTGAGCTCCTGGAATCAAGAACCTGAATTATTGGAGCTAACTCTATCCCAACCATGTATTTTCAGTAAGATATAAATATATAAAAATTAACCAGTATTGCAAAATTGTTGGCACTTTGAATGGTTACCATATCCCTCCTAAGTGTTTTAACTAAAATCATGCAATTAAAGGCTGATTTAGTTGTTTAACTACACAATTGGAAAGAGAAGTCAGATGTCCTGAAGATCACCCAATAAGATATGGTAGAGTTGTATTTTTGACTGCGGATTTGGAAATCCTACTCCAAAGAAGTAAGGGAGTATTTATGACTAAAAAAGGGGTGATACTATTAATAGAAATAAAGAACATCTTGAGGAGCATTGATTTGAGTAAGATTTTGAACTTGTTTGTAAAAATATGCTGAATTTAAGATTGATAATGGATCATCAAAATGGAAGTATCTCCTGGATCAAGACCAAAGGTCAGAACCATCAGAGCTGATTATTTCACCTGATGTGTCCTTAGAGTTAATAATTAAATTCTGAAATCAAATGGCTTCTCCAAGTGCTATTGCAAAGAGATGAGGAAAATGCCAGATTTCAACTTTGAACTTGCCAGTTAAACAATGGGGAAAAGAAGGAAATATGTAGTATCTAGGTTTCCCTTTCTTCCGTTTTTCTGCCATTCTGCCATTACAACTGATTAAAATACAAATTCCTAGGTTAATTCAGTAAAAGAGTATTTTAAAATTATGTGGTTCTATCTATATTTAATGTTAAGCTATTAAAAAAATACTTTTTGTCTTCCTTTGTAGCCACCTTTCAACAGTTTTGGGAAACAAGTTTGATCATGGCGCTGAAGCCATTGTACCTACACTTTTTAATCTTGTCCCCAATAGTGCAAAAGTCATGGCAACTTCTGGATGTGCAGCAATCAGATTTATCATTCGGGTAGGTTTGCTCTCTCCTTTTCCACTGCTGCCTCCTCCGCCTCCCTGGCTTTTTCTTCTTCTTCCCCCTTTTTCTCTCCTTTCCCCACCCCACCCCCCTCTCTCAGTGTACCTAAATAAGTCACTGAGTTTCTTTTTGAACCCCAAAGGCAAATCATTTTTGAATTATTTTTCTGATAGTAAAAGCCATAGATGGTCATTATAGAACTAGAGGATTGCAAAGTACACGTTTGTATATGGAATATAATACATACATACGTGTACATATGAATACATGTACGTATCTACAGTTACGTGTTACAGAAAATAATAAAAGGCAGATTTTTAATATAGTTATGTGCCATCTGACAAAGTTTCAGTCAATGATGGGCTGCATATGCAACAGTGGTCCCATAAGATTGTAATATTATATTTTTACTGTATCTTTACTACTTTACTACTCTTGGATGTGTTCAGGTACACAATACTTAGTATTGTGTTACTCTATCCTAGAGTATTCAGTACAGTAATATTCAGTACAGTATTCAGTACAGTAATCCAGCTACAGATTTGTAGCCTAGGAGCAATAGGCTATAACATACAGCCTGGGTGTGGAGTAGGCTATACCATGTAGGTTTATGCAAGTACACTCTATGATGTTCATATTATGATGAAATCACCTAATGGATTTCTCTGAATGTATCCCGATCGTTAAGTTATGTATGACTGTATTTCTCTTCACTCATATCTTGAGGAAGTCCAAAAGAACAGAGTTGAAAAAACAAATCTCTCCCCTTGAATTCTATTCCTTTGTTACTAATCACTCTAGCAATTTAATGTGTACTTTTCCAAACTTCTATTCTGTGCCTTTACAAATGTATTTGCTACACATATAGAACATGTAAGTATATATAATATATTCTTTGACTTATTTATTTATTTATTTATTTATGTATTTATTTATTTAGAGATAGAGTCTCACTCCATCACCCAGGCAGGAGTGCAGTGGCGCGATCTCGGCTCACTGCAACCTCTGCCTCCCGGGTTCCCGCAATTTTCCCACCTCAGCCTCCTGAGTAGTTGGGACTACAGGCACCCACCCCCATGCCCGGCTAATTTTTTTGTATTTTTGGTAGAAACAAGGTTTCACCACGTTGGCCCAGGCTGGTCTCAAACCCCTGGCCTCAAGTGATCCGCCTGCCTCAGCCTCCCAAAGTGTTGGGATTACAGGCGTGAGCCATCATGCCCAGCCTGTCTTCTTTTTAAACTTCATATACTTCGGTAGCGTCCCTTATCCATATATGTAATTCTTTTTAATGTCTAAAGTAGTCTTCTGTTAAGGATATATCATCAAATTATCCTTACCAGGCCGGGCACGGCAGCTCACGCCTGTAATTCCAGCACTTTGGAAGGCCGAGGCAGGTGGATCACCTGAGGTTGCCAATTCGAGACCAGCCTGACCATCACAGAGAAACCCCATCTCTACTAAAAATACAAAATTAGCCAGACGTGGTGGCGCCTGCCTGTAATCCCAGCTACTCGGGAGGCTGAGGCAGGAGAATCGCTTGAACCTGGGAGGCAGAGGTTGTTGTGAGCCGAGATCATGCCATTGCACTCCAGCCTGGGCAACAAGAGTGAAACGCCATCTCAAAAAAAATAAATTAATTAAATAATCATAATAATAATTATCCTCACCATTCTTATTCTTACAGTCTTCTTCCTGGAGTCCTTTTTCTCCATTCCTTTGCCAATATTGTCTTTTATCAGTATCTTTAGGGTTTTATAATTTAATAATCATTATTTCATATTATACTTTGCATCCCTAGTATTAGGGATGTTAGCTATTTTTTTCCTTCTATAATTCTATGGATTGCCAGTTTTATACTCTGTGCATTTTTTCTCACTTATTTCTAAGACCTTTTTATATATCATAAGGATATTAATTCTGTGTTGTATATGTTGTGGTATTTTCTACAGTCTGACATTTCTTCAAATATTATATAAGCTCTTTTGTTACATATCAGAATTTTAAATGTGTATGTATTGAGACTTGTTCATTTTGTGGGTTTTATTATAGTTAAGACAGCTTTCCCAATTTCACAGTTACATAAAAATGTTCAATCATTTAGGACTTCTGTAATTTTTTTCTTAGGTTTAAATCTAACTGGATTTAATTTTTGTGTGATTTATAGATTTCTAACTTGATGTTTCCCCCAATACAAAACCAGTTGACCTAGTAGCATGTGGTGAATTACAATGTAGCTTTTTCTTGAAATGGTGTTTTGTGTAATAAATTTTCATAAGTACGTAAGTCTGTTTCTTAAATGTATTTTCAGTTTCTTTAATCAGTTTGTCCTTTCCTGTTAAAAAAAAAAATTAAGTTTATTCGTAATATTACTTTCCCAGGAAGTGTTCTTTTTCACCATTTTCATATTTTAAATTAGAAAATGGTCCTTTTTTCCCATTTCAGGCTTTTTTTTTTTTTTTTTTTTAAAGATTGTAGACAGCCTTAATCCAGAACCTTTGTAACAATGTGAGAAAGTATAGAGGCTGGGCACGGTGGCATATGCCTGTAATCCTAGCACTTTGGGAGGCTGAGGCAGGCGGATCACAATGTCAGGAGTTCGAGACCAGCCAGGCCAATATGGCGAAACACCATCTTTACTAAAAATACAAAAAAGTTAGCCAGGCGTGGTGGTGCATGCCTATAATCCCAGCTACTCCAGAGGCTGAGGCAGGAGGATTGCTTCAACCTGGGAGGTGGAGGTTGCAGTGAGCCAAGATTGTGCCACTGCACTCCAGCCTGGGCGACAGAGCGAGACTCTATCTCAAAAAAAAAACAAAGGAAGTATAGTAGGAATTATTGAAATGTTTGTTTTATCCCTTAATTGGGTGGGATCATATTTAACTTCAATTAAATATGATTTTTAATGGGTTTCTGTGGATATAGTATATTAGATTATGGAAATTTCCTGCTGTTCACATTTTGCTAAATTTTGATCAGGAGTAGATGTTGAATTTTATCAGATAGCCCTTTAATATCTTTAGAAATGATTATCTTTGTTTTTTCATTTATTCTTATACATTCAAGAACTAAATTCTGCTCGGCTATTGTACATTAAGATACTGCTAGATTTGGTTGGCTAATGTTTAGTAAGATTTTGGCATTCATTTAAATGAATAAGTATTTTGTGAATTTTTTTTCCTGTTTTGCATATTTTGTTAATATATTGTTCTGCTATTAGGGTTTAATGGTCTTTAAGATTATATAATAATATTTCCAATGTTTTAGACTCTGGGCATCTTGAATCTTTATTTTGAAATGTTGGTGATCCTCTCACCTCAGCTCCCAAGAAGCTGGGATTACAAGTGTGAGCTACTGCACCTAGCTGACTTTTTCTTATTAGAATGTTATGTATTCTTTTATATATACTTGACAGAGGCATTATTTGGGGTTCTTTATAAACATCTATTTATAGTTTCATTGGTTGTAGTGAGATTATTTAATTTTTCTAATTCTTTAGTTTCTTTTTTTTTTCCAACTTTTGGCTCATTTTATTTTTTTAGATTTTTGTGGTATATCTTTAGACAATTTGCATTGCTTTTTCTTTATTATTATAAGGCTTTGGGTTTTCTTCTGAGTTTGGCTTTGGCAGCATCTCGATTTAAATTTACCACATTTTATTTATGTTTTCAATCATTTGTAATTTCCATTTCAACTTCTTTGAATTGCATAATAATGTTTTCATTTTCAGATGGTGCTTTTGTTCTTACTGTCATTATTTTTGAATTTCATGACGTTCTGATCAGGGAATTTGGTTGTATGATTTATTCTTTGGTGAATACCTTGAAATTTTATTTGTGTTCCGTCATCAGTTTATATAGGTAGGCTGTTAGCATTTACAAAGTGGAATTCTTTGGCATAGAATCGAGTACTTTGTTCATCACTAAATCTAGCTTATGTTTTATTTACATTATTCAAGTTCTTTATGGTCTCATTTTTTTAAAAATCTACTTTATCTGGCAAATTCTGATTCTAATTTTGTCAGTTTCATTTTTCTAACTGTTCTTGATATATGTACTTTATGTATGGTCAAGGTTTTTTACTATTATCTTGAAATCGTATTTTTTTCTTATAGTCTGCTTTCTGTTCACTGTGCTGCTTTTCTTTCCTTTTTTTTTTTTTTTTGTAATTTAGAAGTTCCTTATTGTCAAGAATAAAACCTTTGTTATGCTCGTCTCTGCCTTTTAAAAAGTATGCATTTTATTTCATTCATGCCATTTTTTCCCTTACCCATTGAATTAAATTTAACAAAGATATTTTCATTTTCAGCAACTGTAATTAACTGTAGTTTTTTACTACTTTTATTTCTGACCCACTTATTGTTATACTCTCGCTTCCCTTTTTTTAATTGATTCTGGGTCATTCTTGTTTGACTTTAGTGTTTTCTCACTTTTCATATATGTTTTTATCTTTGTATATTTTGATTTGTCTTTTCCTTGCCAATTTAGGATATGGGGACTAAAAATTTGACCGTTGAACTTCAGGTTCGCTTTCCTTTTCTTTCACAAATTTTGTTGTTGTTGTTATGGAGTCTCGCTCTGTTACTCGGGGGAATTCAGTGGCGCCATCTCCACTCACTGCAACCTCTCCCAGATCAAGCTATTCTTCTGCCTCAGCCTCCCAAGTAGCTGGCTTTTCAGGCACCTACCATCACGCCTGGCTAATTTTTGTATTTTTAGTAGAGGTGAGGTTTCACTATGTTGGTCAGGCTGGTCTCAAACTCCTGACCTCATGGCTCACGCCTGTAATCCCAGCACTTTGGGAAAGCGAGGCGATCCGCTTGCCTTGGCCTTCCAAAGTGTTGGGATCACAGGCATGAGCCACCATGCCCAGCCCATTTTCTTAACTTTTTATTGTTGCCTCTAAAAATGAGACTGTTTGATTATTTTATAGCAAAACAACCACCACCACGACCAAACAACCTTTATAAGGCAGTCCCTTTGTGTGAAGAGTTTCCCCACAGCAGGTCTAGGAGTTGATTGTCTTTCATTAATACTATTCTTAATACAGTGGACAAGGATTTTGGACTGAAATTGGTTATCTTAAATTTATGTTAATTTTTATGGATCTTTTCTTTATTTAGTACTTCTGTCTTATTGGCTCAGATCTTTTCCTGCTGTTACTTTTGTTACACAAATTCTGAAATCCTCAATGTCATTTATCATTTTTTGAATAACTTTTTGTCTCTTTGTCTTACAGCTGTGTGTATTTTCAGGAAAAATTCCTTTAAATTCTACTTATTTGAAAGTACCCATTTTGTAATTCTCAGGCTTTACTCTTTATACTTTGTTTTCAAATTGCTCATTTTTCATGTTGTTATACTAGCCTATCATCTCACCAATAAAACAATAATTTTTAAATATTACCTCCTGTTTTTGTTTAATTTCCTAAGAGTACTTCCTTAGATTGCTGTATTTAATTTCTAATTCTCTTTTTAATTTTAGAGAGGCTTTTTTCCTGTTGTCAACTTGTATTAATAAAGTGTAAATTGTTCTTAGTGTTTGATTGAATGCTTCATCTGTAATTGATTTGAGGTAAATTTTTACTTTCCTTTGGTACAACTCCCCCTGGATATGATGTAGCAGTAGTTAGGTTAGTTTATCTCTCCATCCTTGCCACTGTCATGGATGTGATTAACCCATCTTTAGGATTTCGGAGAGGTTAGAAGAAAAAGAGAGGAGTGTGGTGGGTAAGACCTCCTTTATAGTTGTTGTAGCTAGGGGATCTCCATGGGTTTTACCTCCACAGTAATGTTTGGGAAATGGGCTCTTGTGGATGCTGTAGGGAGCAGGTCCACAGAGTCCTTCCATGCTGAATTGAACAGTTGACTAACAGGCATGTCAGCACACTTTCTTGAATTATTCTCATCTTCAACAGCTTCAAGCCTATAGATGGTTTCTCTCTGTAGTGGCTGAGAAAACGTTTTTCCTTTTATTTTGGTTGAGTTAGCTGTGGCAAACGCTGCTGTGCCATATACACTTTCCTTCAATGAAAGACTTGTTTCCCCAATGCTAGGAGAACTGTTAGTAGACAGCCTTCAGCTGCCAGTCTCCTAAAGGATTATTTCAGCTCGAGAGCTGCCTTTCCCAAGGTCTTGCGCCTTCCCAGTATTGCCCATATCCAATAACTGATTGATGTGAAAGTATAAAGGTTTGACCGTCTTGGACCAATTCAAGAGTATTCTGAGGGACTGTTTCAGTTCTAGAGCTTCGTAATGGCTTTGGGCAAAGATAGCCTTGGACCATGTCACAGTTTGATTTCTTCCTCTGCCCGCTCCACTCCTGCTTCCTTCTCCCGTCCACAGGTGGTAATCCCAAGGGCATTTAACAAAAAATTAATGTGTAATGGATGTACATATTTTGGGGGTATATGTGATATTTTAATGCATTCATATGTGTAGATGTCCAATTAGGGTAACAGGGAATTAATCACCTTAAATATTTATCTTTATGCTAGGAACATTCTAATTATTCTCTTTCAGCTATTTTGAAGTGTACAATAGATTGTTGTTAACCATGGTCAACCTACTGATCTGTTGAACACTAGATCTTATTTGTTCTAACTGTATACCTATTAATCAGTCCCTTTTCCCTCCCTCCTCCCTGCTATCCTTCCTAGCCTCTGATCATGACTAACCTATTCTCTATCTTCATGAGATCCACTTTTGTTTATCTCCCACATGAGTGAGAACATGTGATATTTGTCTTTCAAGGGCACTTCCTAATACATATCCTGCATGCTAAACTCCATCTCATAGCCTGCTTCCTAGATAACCCAGCCTGTACCATTAGCTCAGAAGGAATACAAGAGATTTAAGGAATTAAATATGTATGCTTGTGTTAATGTCTATTATGAACTTGTTAGTGTTGGCTTCACTAAAGAAGGGTATAAGAATTAATAATAGAAATCAGAAGATTATGTCTTTGTGGAACTTCTACTTGAATTCTAGAGAGAGATGATTCAGCCAGAATGAAGTGAAAGTTCTATTAAGACCACCATTTCAAAGTGGATTCCCAATAGTTAGGGAAATAGATTCACTCGACTACCTGCTTTGATGACGTTGCAATTATGATTTTTTACCAGCAGTAGCCATAGTACTTCAGAAAATGTGTCCAATACATGCCCAGTCTCTTTTAGTGCTCCCACTCCCCCAGAATTATATTGTCCTAACAGTTCTTTGCGGTTACACAGTTAACTTTTCTTTGTTAGGTCATGTTATATCCACACCTGTCCTTTTGAAACTGTATCATCATGACATTATGTTAATTCAGGAAAACGTTTCCAAACTGGTCTTAATTTCTTTCAAATCTAATACCTGGTCTTTTTGTCCTCTGTAACTAAATACTTGAATGTAAGGCAAATAGAAGAAAGGACCACTTGAAGTGTGTAGTATTTTCAACCTTTTCTAAAACATCTTTTTCAGCATACTCATGTACCCAGACTTATACCTTTAATAACAAGCAATTGCACATCAAAATCAGTTCCCGTGAGGAGGTAAGTTTAATTTTTGTTGTTGTTGTTGTTAGTATAGCGCTGATACTGCATTGTTTAATTATTGGTCTGGTGCAAGAATTGGTCATTAATTTCTTGCCTTCCAGAAAACCATAAAAAAAATTTTTTTAAAAATCATATCTCATGTAAGGGAAAAGGGATGAAGTGATTATTATAACCACCCACTTTTCTTATTTTAAAATATCATATTAAGCTTTGGTTTATTTGGACTGCTGGTTGCCTTGGTTTTCAGAGGACAAGGAATACAGAGTCAGGTCTGGGCTAGAGTCCTACAACTGCCATTGACTGTTCTAGCTTAGGCAATTATTTAACTGCTCTGAACCTTAGTCCCTGCATAGGTTAGTAGAGCTAATAATGTCAAACCCATAGAACATAAGGATTAAATGAGATACATACTAGTAGAATATAGCCGGTGTTTGGAACAGAGTATATAGCCCTATCAGGTCTTTCAGTTAGTGTCTGCCTCTGTCTCTGGTTTCTACAATTTTTAATGTCACACCTGTCAACCTAAATAACAGAGAGGTTCTCTGAAAGAAAATGATATTAGTATTTATGCAGGAATGAGCAGTGCAGTGGTAATATGCATACAATAGCAAACTATGTGCATATTCAGGGAGGTAAAGGAAAACAAAGGTTTTTAAAGGAAAAATGAGGAAGATTACATAATCATTTTGAGGTAGTTATCCCGGGCTACAAGGATCAGTAACAAGGGTGATGCCAACTTGAGGCTGGACAGGCAGTTGCTGGGTAGATGTCCTTGTAGAATTTTTGTTTGTTTGTTTTTTGTAAGATTGCGATAGCCTTTGTGCAGGTTGTGTTTTTTCGGAGTCTTTTGTGATAGCTCTTGTTATCAGTCATTTATTCATGAGAACTCTCCCTTAATGGCCTTCCTCAGCTCTATTTGTCAATTTTTTGTGTGTGTGTGTGTATGTGTTGTAACACAAGTGACTTCATTTTGATTCTGACAACTTTAACACCACTATTGCCAACAATAAAGTTAGGAAAAACAAATTTGTACATTTGATGTTTAAGAAGATTGTAAAGAACTCTACCTTTTTTAATTAGATAACTATATTTAATTAAATACTGTGTTAGGAAGAAGCTGAATAAGACATTGTTATTTTAAGTGGTTCAAACTTTTGACAACAGTTGTTCAGTCATCTGTCTTATGTCAGGGGTCAGCAAACAACAGCTTGCAGGTAAAATGTGGCCAACAGTCTGGTTTTGTACAGCCTACATGCTAAGGGTATTTTTTACATTGTTAAAGGGTGATTTAAAAGGTAGGGGATGAGAGGTAAAGAATATGAGACAGAGACTGTATGTGGTCCACAAAGCTTAAAATATTTACTGTCCAGCCCTTTACAGAACAGTTTAACTGACCCCTGTCTTACATTGAGGAAAATGGTAGTTGGAGAAATAAGAATGTGACAGAAGACAAAATCAGAAGATGTGTCATAGAATTGCCTTAAAAATGGTGAGCAATCCATTAACTATAGGGAGAGTGAGTGGAGTACAACCTAAGCAGAAATGTAACGCTATGCCACATGCTGCAGAGCCATCAGATAGGCCCCTGAGGCCAGAACATATGACAAATGGAAGGTTTCAGTGGGAAAAGAACCTGGTTGAGGGCTGGGGAGTAGGTTGAGATCATAGTGTGGAGGGCTTTGAAAGTTATGAAGAGGAATTTTGACATTATTTCATAGATAGTAGGAATCTTTGACAGTTGTAGATTTTTGATGAGGAGGTGATGTCCAAGGCTAATTTTTATTCCAGCTATGAAAGTGATTGAAAAGAAACTGAAAAGCATTGTTTAATTAGGTAGGAGTTGTTATAATTCATGGAAGAGAAAGGCAGAGTCTGAACAAGAACTGTGTGGAACTGTGTTGATAATTGAAGGTTTTTTTAATTAACAAATTCAAAACGTATTTCATGTGTAGAAATGAGACTTGATAATTTTGAATATAGATGAGGAGAGTGGTGTCAAGTGCTTCAGACTGTGAGCTCTGGAGTCAGAATGCCAGGGTTTAAGTCCTAGCTCTATCACTTCGAGCAAGTTAATTTAACCTCCCCATTTCTCATTGCCTAATCTGTAGTATATGAGCTAAAAGAGTAGATTTGAAAGGGTACGAATTAATTCGTTGTTTTCTGTGTAGTGTTTGAGTTGACATTCACTGCCTATGTGGAGACATCCATAAACTAGTTGGAACTTTGACAGCTGAAGTGACATACCAATGCTGGAGATACAGGACTAGATGTGGTAATTATATCTCGTAGGCAGAACTAAGAGTACAGATTATGTTGCCTCAGTAAAAAGACTGTAAAAAGATAAGTGGGCAAATATTGGTACCAACCAGGTGAGCATCTGTTTAAGGGAAAGTGGAAGAAAAAGTGTTAATAAAGGAAGAAATACAAGTCAAAGCTGTGTCATCAAGTGCCAAGGAAGGAGAGGAGCTCAAGTATGAGACAGTTGAAGAAACTGAGAAATAGAGGACTTAGGAGAAAATGTACACAAACTTTATGTAAAGTCATATACATACATATGTAAGGAAACAGTGTAAAAATGAAAGATCCAGATTGTTGTGGCTTTCTTGATCACTATTGTATATCTTCACTGTCAAGTACATAGATGTTTAATAAATATTTTTAAATTAATAAATGAAACTTGTTACATTTTATTTATTTATTTTTGAGACAGTTTCTCACTCTGTTGCCCAGGCTGGAGTACAGTGGTGGGATCTCCGCCTCCCAGGTTCAAGCGATTCTCTTGCCTCCACCTCTCAAG